TAGGATAAAATACCATCAAATAATATAATTTATGTCAAAGTAAGGAATATTTTTTCAGTAACTTTTCTCATTAGGAATTTTGGCAATGTCAGACTATAAGTAATAATAGTTAACTTACTATAAGTGATGGTAACTTATAGTCAATATATGCCAATTATGCTTGTAAAATATACAGAGATTTTTATTTCTGATATTACTGTGAGTAGCTGAGGGTACAATTCCTCAGAATTTTTGTACCACTTAATCGGCACAGATTAAGTGAAATCTGTCTCAGGGTTTTGGATTGAGAGATCCGATCTCTATGTCGAACGATGGCCTTAAGAGCTTTTAAAAGGGATCCAAATCTCATGATTCGGATTTACGTCAGGATGATGACACCAGTTAATCAAACTTGCGTTAATCCAACACGCGTTATCCCTAAACTTGTAAATAGGATGAGCGAAGGAAATTTAAAGACAATATCAACCAAACCATTTTTTTTTTTTATAACAAATCAAAAAGTATTTCATGAATCAAAATATAAAACTATACAGAAGAATAACTCTAAACCTAAACTTAATTCTAATCTTAACCTAAGATTATTTCTAAACCTAATGCTTGAAAGAGTTCACAACAATCTATCAGAGTTCATAATACCTTCTTCTTTAGGTCTTTCGTATCTTTTTCTGTATCTATATATGAGGGTCTTCTTCTCTTCTTTATGTTCTCTTCTTATATTTTCTAGGAAAGTTCTCTTAAATCTTCTCTCGTATACTTCGAATGTAGTACTCTTCGTAAGATGAGATCTTTCTTCATATGGTAACCTTTCTTCGATGGATTGCCTCTATCATATATTGGATTTCTTTGTATGGCAACCTTTTTCCAATGGACTGTCTTTATCGTATGGTTAACTTCTTGTGCGGCAATACCTATCTTCGATGGACTGCCTTTGTTGTATGGCTAGTTCTCTTCTTCATGTGGCAACCTCCTTTCGACAGACTGCCTTGAGTGGCGGGAAAATGTCCCTTTTATTTGCTCTCCAGTAACATGTGCAAAACTTGTGCAACTCATCATGAGTCTGCCTGGGAAAGGAAATCAACTTCCTTCCAAAATCGAAAGTTTCATCCGTTTTTGAAAAATTCATTGAATTAAAAAAATATTATTTTTCTATTAATTTTCTAATCTTTTCTTCACCTTGTAAAATCTTCAGAATGGCCTCCCCTGAACTTCCATATTCTCACATTACACTCATTTAGGTAAAGAAAATATATACATTTTAAATCATCCTCTTTGAAACAAAATGCATTTTATGAAATTGTCCATTTTCCTAAGATCATTAGTTTAATTATATAAACATAAAAATTATAACTCTTTTCTACCGGCATTTAAAAATCAACAAACAGCAAAAACCCTTTAAGATGCAATCTTTTTATTTAAACTTCTAATGTTTTTGGTCTACTTCATTGACCTTCATGAAAAATCGAATAATTATGATTTATAAAGAGTGAAACCTATTTTAGAATGCTTTTTTAAAAATTTTTTTCTTTCTTTTTCTTTTTGTTGAATGCTTTTTTAAAAAGAAATTTTTAAAAAAGCATTCTAAAATAGGTTTTGTTTGTTATAAACTGTAATTATTCAATTTTTCCTGAAGAAGGTCAATAAAATAGACTGAAAACATTAGAAGTTTAAATAAAAAGACTGCATCTTAAAGGGTTTTTGCTGTTTGTTGATAAAAATTATAAATCTGTTAGCACTCAAACATTACAAGATAACAATCAGAAAATTTTTTATATCTTTAAAAAATTTAAATAAACCTGCAGATAAATCTCATTTATTATTATATTAATTAAAGTTTTATATAATGTGAATAAAAAAGTTGCTTCTAAAGTCCAATTTTCTATAATATTAGTGTTTTTCTTTCTATAAGTATATAATTTTACACATAAAATACAAAATGATTTAGAAACCAAAATTAATTCAAAGATGTATATCAGAGGAAATAATGCTTGAGCAACATAATTTCAGAGATATATGGTAATGAGATTAAATAGTTTAGATAAACTCTGTTTAAAAACAGGATATGAATAATGTATGAAAAATTATGAACTCTATTTATATCTGCTTCAGTAAAACTGATTGAAATACAGCTGTTAGTATTAATGCAAATTTAAAATATTATTTATTATTTTAGTGAATAAAATAAAATTTATATTTTATTTTGCTTAAGTAAGCTGCACAATTGATATATAGATTTACCAATGGTAATTTTCTAAAATGATATGTGACTGACTCCAATTTTATGATATGCACTGTTATGAAGAATCTCTAAATTATCAAAACAAAACTTTCATCAACAAAAACAAAAACACCAGTTTTTTCGACATTATTATTATTACTTTAATTCCATTAAATTTCATCAATATCAATTGAAACAAACTATCAATAATCAGTACTATTATTATTAGGCATTCTATAATATGTAAATTATCATTTTTTATTACTCCAACGATCTGCAAATAAATCAAAGAATTCAATTTTATCAAAACAATTACAACATCATTCTATTATAAATAGAAACATTCAATTTAAAGTAATTTAGATTTATCAAACATTTTGACCTGAAACAGATCCCAATTAGGATTGAAATAGCTTGTCATAGCAGCATATTTATATTAAAATATATTTGCTGGTTTAATTTTGAAGATTTTGTTGGTGTTATTTACTAATATATAACCAGCTGTGGAAATACGAGGGCTGTTCAAAAAGTATCGGACCTTTGATCGGCAAAAATACATTTATTGATTTTGAGGTACAAAACCCTAATCCCCTTCAAAGTAGTCTCCTTGGTAGTGTATACACTTCTCCCAGCATTCGTGCCATTGCTGGAAACACTGCTGGAATGCATCTTTTGGAATGGCCATCAGCCGGTCTGTCGCATTCCGCACGATGTCTTCTCTAGACTAAAATCGGGTTCCTTTTAGCGGCATTTTCAGCTTGGGAAATAGCCAAAAGTCACATGGAGCCATGTGGGGAGAGTACGAAGCGTGACGAACCACAGGAGTGTTGTGTTTGGCGACAAAAGCCCGAATCAGATGTGTAGAATGGGCGGATGCATTATCACAATGGAGCTGCCAAGTTTTGATCTACCATAGATCTTGGTCGTTTACATCACACAGCATCGGAAAGATGACGAAGGACCTCCTGGTAGTACTCCCTTGTGATGGTTTGGCCTTGTGGTGCGTACTCACGATACACCACCCCACGAGAGTCGAAAAACTGTGAACATGACCTTGATATTGCTGCAGACCTGCCGCGCTTTTTTTTGGCCTCGAGGATCGTCCCCGAAAGCCTGCTGAATCTTGCGAATGGTTTACGCTTGGGTATCGCCGAGGTTTTTGGCAAAATTTGATGTAATATCGCTGCTCACGTTGTTCAGTCATTTTCCAACTTAGTGGAATCTGACGAGAGCTCACTATATGTCCTCACTCATAGGCCCATGTTTAAAAGGAGAGAAGAGAGCTGTCCGTCTTTTAAGCGACGGACTTAACCCTGTAGAAGTAGGAAAGAAGAGAAAGCATGAGATGTGAAGTGTGAAAAGAAAGGAAGATAGGAAAGTTTGAAAGAAGGCATGGGACCCAGAGAGCGCCTCTCATCAGCATTTATTAAAACAAAACAAAAAGTTACAAGACAGATACAGCAGTATCAAAAGTACAATTCAAGGTCCCGACATTAGGTTTCCATATCCTATTCATTCCAGAAAAAATTTGAGGTGTTCACGCAAAAGCAACTGTCCTGTCAGCTCGACAGGTCAAAAACACCTTTACAAAAGAAATTAAGTAAAATTAAATAAAATGTTAATTACAATATTTACATGGTGAATGACAAGATGAATAGTATGAAAAAAAAACATGCCATCTCTCCAATGAGCACACAAAAGTCTTGTTTACTCACTGAAGCTATCGTCTTCATCACTATGTTGTGAAAAATCTGTTATGTCATTATCTTCTTCTTCATCATTGTGTACACTTTCTGCCATCCTATAGTGCTTTGAAATTGTAACCAGGGTTTTAGTCTTCATAATATAATTTTCCATAGCTTCAAAGAGTGATTTATCTTTAACTAATTCACTATCTTTTGGAGGCCAGTTATACCCTGCTTTCAGACAGCTATGAAGGAATTTTTCTCTTTCTACCATATATTTTGAGCAGTCGTACAAGAAATGGTAAACATTATCTTCTTGTTGTTTATCAATATCACAGTTTTTATTGTCTGTTTTATGAAATCTATAGAGGTAACTTTTAAAATTCCCATGAGCTGTTAAGCACTGTGTGATTCCAAAAGAAGTTCTGAAATGTTTGTTGGCTTTCCTTTCTAGTATTGAGGGAAAGAAACCATAACAATGTCTTCCCGTATTGGAGGAAGTCCATTCCCTCTGCCATAGGTCGTTAGTTATATTCCTTATAGTATTTTGCAGTCCTTTAATAGGTATTTTTTGGTAAATAACATTTGAGTCGTGATTAGTGGCTCTTTTTGCCAATTTGTCTGCTTTTTCATTGTATTCCCTCACTCATAGGCCGACTGCCAACGACTGATGCTTCCTGCAGGCGGGAAAAAATTCAAAGCTGTGCATGACTGTCCCCTCCACAACTCCACTGAAAGAGACCTCCCACGCATCATTGGTTTACGCGGAAAAAATAAAAGTCTGATACTTTTTGAACAGACCTCGTATTTAGTAATTTAGATTAGAATATTTATTTACAAAGTGATAAAATATATTTCTGTTGCAAAACAATATATTCTGCTGTTATATGATAAATTTAAATTTCCAAAATTTTTCAAAGTTAAATTTGCAAATTTCATTGAAATCATTTAGAAAATGTTTCTTTGTAAGTATTTGTACCTATTATTTTTGTAAAATAATAATTTCTATGAAAACCTAGATTCTGAGAAATTATTTAATTTTTCTCAGAAGTATGTAATAATCATATCAATATATTATAACAACAGAAAAAGACATATACCTTGAGATATATCTGAAGGCATGGGTGTTCGAAATACAGCCCATCTAATCACAGCTTCACTGGGATCACAAGTTATTTCGTGAGGTCTAAGCCAATTACAGCCATATTCATCTCTTTGTTCTTCAGGATTATAATACAATGATTTGGGAAGTGGTGGAAAAGCATCATCAACAAATAATTCTTTATTCTGCAAAAAGTAAATTTTATTATTACTTTAATATTCTTTATAATTTTAATAAACTTTATTATTCTATTATTTCATTTTTTATATTCCTGTCTAACCCTGGAAATTGGCATGTCAATATTGAGTATTTCATATAAAATACAATTGCAATTGTTTGTTAATATTAGAATTTATGGGTTTTATTGACTAGAAGTTTTATACAGAGGAAACAAGAAAAAAGGGTCTTTTTTATTATGGGTAGTATATACAAGAACATTTGGGCAGGTTATCAGATCCTTATGAATTCTTGTCACAATTTTCATACCAAAAAAGTTGTTAAAAAAAATCTCAAATCCCTGAATGCATATAACTGCTTAGGGGAAAACATGACAAAAAATGAAAATGCGGAAATTTTTTTTAAATTGATATTTGTATCTGCACATATTTTACATTATTTTTTATTTCTGTTTACTTGTCCAACATCTCCAAATCATTTTCATTACACTCTTCACCTTTACCTGTTATTAAAGCTAAGAATCAAAAGTTTTATATTTTCTTTCTGCCATAACAGTTATTCTAATTTCCAGAATGGTATTCAGAATCCTTAATTCAATCTGTTTTGCAGAGAATTCTTGATAATATTTGTTTCTGAGAAAACATGCTCCAGTGTTTCAATACTTATTGGTAGAAAAAGAATCCTAATGAGAAAGATGTATGTAATACTTGCAGTTATGATGGATGAAATTCCATATTCATCCAGTTGCATGCAGTGACATTTGATGATAGGAACTTATAGATTTATTAGAAGCGTTATGGCCCTGGGTAGATTTATTGGAAGCGTTATACAATATTTTGGTGTGTAGCTTTCACGAGCTAAATTGCATGAGGTTGGGGCTCTGTAAAGTGCATGCACAAATGCCTGTAATCTGGCTGCTTTACACGATTTAAATATTTTTGCCATGGAAGCTATCTTGGATTCGACAATACAGCATGCTTCTGTTGTTAATATGTATATAAAATTTATATTCGAATATATAATAGCAATTTTATCATTGTTTTTCACATGTATAGAAATTTGTAATAAAATACATAATGCAGTTATAATAAAATATTAATTTTAATTAATTTAAAGTATGTTAAAATGTGAAAATAATCGCACAATATATATTTATATTTTAGAAAATACAAGGGAAGTGATGCTTCCACAGCTTCCACGGATGACATGCCACTGTATTCATCACATGTAAAGCAAACTTCTTTTCTGCTGCAATATGTTTTGGCTGTCAGCTATATTGTATATATGTATTTATAATTGTATATAGTTATAATTCTATTTTATTCTTGCAATTCCCTTTATTCCCTTTGTTTATCCTTTCTAAAACTTTCCAAGACAACTGTTATCGCCTTTGGGTAGGATTAGCTGTTCAGAGAATTAGTAAAGACAATAGCAGGTGAGGTAACTTGGCTAGGAGACGAGTCATTTTTTTCAATGAGACACGGAGAGAGTCAGACGTGTCAAATGAAGCTCTGAGCATGACTTTGTAGCAAGGACAAAAAGAATTTTGTGATAGTCAAGTAAGAGACCGAGGAGGAACCACATTCGAATAATAGGCTTGAGACGACTCTGAATAGGTGAAAAATTATCCTAAGGAAGTGGAATCTCCACAATTAAAGATAGGACGACTGGGTTCCAGAAGGAAAAGAGAATTAAGAATAGTGAAAGCAAAAGCCATTATCGTTGAAGAAAAATCCTACCCAAAGTGCATATCAACAGAAAGAAAGGAAAGGCCCGGGTGAAGTTACCCCCTCATTTCTTCTACCTTCCTGCTGTCCTATCTCCCTTGTCATTTCCTTAGTATTAAGTTAGGATTAAGTTAGATTTTAGTTACATGGTTATAGAAGATTAATTGTTACATGCCTGCAGATTTTTACTATCGTGTTTTGTTGTGAAACAAAAGGTTTTCTGTTTAATACACCTCGTATTGTAAAAATTTCTTACAAATCAGTTGGGATTCCTTATAAAACCGAACTTGTTCATAGAGAAATAAAGGGAAGTGTATATTCTAGTAGTTGTCGCAAGTTCCTTTCTGTACGTTTCATCCGCGGATTGTACTGTCTCACCCATACGAACACCACAATGTAATTCAAAATGGATTTCAAATATAAAGTTTGAAAATTTTTAAATTTCTGAATTGTAGCAACAAATAAGGAGTAGAAATAGCTCTCATGATCATTGAAACTTTGCAAGATTATGATATTTCCCTTTCAGATTGTAAAGCTCTAGCATATGACAATGGTGCAAATATGGTAGGAAAATACAATGGTGCTCAAGCTTTACTTGAACTTTACTCATATACCATATTTTAACTCTGCATTTGCCACACACTCAATCTCTGTGGAAATGATGCAGCAGAAAGCACTCCAGAAGCAACTACACTCTTTGGGACTACACAAACTATTTATAATTTGTTCAGTTCTAGTCCAAAAAAGTAGGAAATTCTGGTCAAGCACATAGGCACCTCTCTTCATGGAATATCTGGCACTAGATGGTAAGATTGAGTTGAAAGTGTAAAATTTGCACCTCATCTTCCAGATATTAAAGTTTAAAGTTGCACTGGAGGAAATATTGGGAGTTTAATTTGACTCCAAAATCTAAAAATGATATTGAAGGCACTTTGCAATATGTAACACCATTTACCTGTATCATAATGTCTGTTTGTAATATAGATTACTTGTACCAATTGATTTTTCCAATAAAGTTATCCAAGCAAGAGATGCAATAATAGATGTTAAAGTATCAAAAGTTTTGAGCCGTCTTGAGCAAACTGAACTCTGAAACAAATGGAAATCTATGTGAAATGAGCTGAAGCTTATAGCTTCCAATCTTGATATGGAGGTCAAGTTGTCATAAGGCTGAAGTGCAGCAAAACATAAACAAACAACATTTCATGATGACATTGTTCCAGATACCAATTTAGCAAAACTAGATGATACAGATGAGTCACCCAAAGAAGCAAATTTTGGGTTTGTTTTTTATGTTGTCATTGATATTGTGATAAGTGGGCCGACAATTTACTTCAAAGCTACAAAGAATATTTCAGATACGTTCAACTTCATCTGGAACTATGCCGGAAGATCTTGAGAAAAAGGCACTGTCTTTCTTGAAGGTATCCAGATGATCTTACAGAGGACATAGTCACTGAGCTCAAACACCTACCAATAGTTCACAAAGTTAACTTTGGCAGAAGTCAACCTAAACCGTTAAAACTGCTAAATTATCTGAATGAGTACAAACTACAAGGATGGTTTACAGGTATTTGTGATGGTTTATATTATGTTTGTCTATGTATTTTGCTTACTATTCCTGCCATAGTTGCATATTCATAATGGACTTTCACTGAGAAGTTGATAAAAAAAAACTATACATGATCAACAATAAGCCAAGGCCATCTTGATGACTTAGCTACACTTAGCATTGAGTCTGAAATTGCTAGAACTGTTAGTTTTGATAAACTTCTCCAGAATTTTGCCCAGAAAAAAGACAAGGAAAGAAGCATTGTTTATTTTATGTTTCAAACTAACAATTATATAGTTCAGATTTGCTTTTGCCTGCATTTATTTTCATTTACATGTTTATTTATAACTGAAAAAATAATAATTTTGCTTCTTACATTTTAGATTTAAAAGTGAGTAAATATGGTAATCACTTGCTTTCTTATAAATCTGTAAACTTTTTAAGACGAGAATAATAAATATATTTTATCTTTTGTATTTTATGAATTAACTTCTTATTCACAAATATGCATACTAGAACAGGAAATACTATATAACAATTAGATATACAGCATGCATACAGGCATATATATATATAAATACACTCAAAAAAGCAAAAATTCAGCAGTTTATAACAGTTCAAATTTAAAATGCTGTCTGATTGGACATTGTGTACTGTAGTTAATGTACCCAGGGTCACATACCTTATCGGATTACACAGGACTCTCCAGGTAGTAGATAGCATATCGTTGTCTTTATAATTGATGGTCATTTTATTTCTGTTGACTTGGAAATCTCCAATTTTTCTAAATGTTTAAGAATGAAATGTTTTTTTGAGCAATGTAATAATTCCATCTGGTCTAAGTAGGCTTGTACCTCTGAACTGTCTGCACAGGCAGATAAGAAGGCATGCTAATTGAATAGAAGAAATATATGCTAACTAAAAGGCGATGAGATATGAGTACCACTTGGACACAATTTAGATGAATAGTAGCAAAAAAAACCCAACCATATACACAATACTTAAAAATGGGAAAGACATCTAAAACACACAGAGCCCCAGGATCCGAACATAAGGGATCACAGGAATGGCAGTGACCATTGGATGAACATTGGATCAACCACTTTACAGAGCACTAGTATACATTCTTTAAAGCAGAGGATAAGGGAGATCAATATGACTTGGATAATGGTAAACTCTCCACATATACCTCTGATAAAGACAAAGATTTTGTTCCATCAACTGATACTGATATGCACTTGCTGTGAAGATAAAGGTATTCAGGATGTAGAGGCCCTTGAAATTTTTAAAGCTGACAGGAGAGAAATGTGCATTAATTATAAAGAAGAAAAACAAATCTTGTATGCTTAGCAAGCAATGTAGGATCTGGCACTACCTACAGAAAGCCATCCAATCAATGTAACCCACTGAATTACATAATGATGCATATGTTACCACTTCATATGTCCATTGAACCATGTAGCATTTTAAATTTGAATTTAAACAATGGTTTTGATTCATGTTCCATTTAAAGAAAGGAGAAAACCTGAAGCAGTGCTTAGAAGGAACCAAAAATGTTTGTTTTCCCATGAATTTTGTTAATGGACACCCAGAGGTTTGTGAAGTGTGTTATTTTAAAGAATTTAAACAACAAACGTACCGGGGAGATTGTTACCAGTGTGCTTCTTGGAAAAAAAGAGTATACAAACATTTTCGAACTTGGAAGTTCTTCTTCAAGTAACTAATGACT